TCCTCAGTCCTGCTCTCCAGTGAGAGGCCCAGTTTCTACTGAAAATGGAAACCACAGAGGTAGTCCACCATAGAGCCCCTGTGAAACTCTGAAGGGCTAAGAAAGCAGCTGGGGACTGGGATTGTGTTGATGCTTGTGGGCTGTCACTTAGGAGTCCCCACACTTCCTGACCACCTTGTACAGTAACCCCCGTGAGGTTCCGCTAGAGCACTTGCTGAGAGCCACATTGTGGCCCCGCCACCTTGTGTTCCCACTTCACCATTAGTCTTAGGGCAGATTTATGGGAGAGTCTACAAAAGGGAGAGTTAACCCCATGGCAGGAGATAGATTGATGTTTGCCTGGAACTGTGGAGAAGAAATTTTTGAGGTGATGGGAATATTCTAGATCTTGGTTGTCATGGGCCTCTATCTTTTCTTTTGGTCAGAAGTCGACTACATGTTTCCTCTGGTTTTGTAGTTGCTGCTTTATTTTTGAGACAGAGTCTTTCTTAGTCCATATCCTAGGCTAGCCTGGGACACTATGTTCTCATTTTGTTGAGTTGTCTGTTCTCCAACCCCAAATCTTCCTGCTTCTACCTCCTTCATCCTGAAATTACAGCCATGTGTCCCACGACACCTGGCTTATGTATCTTTTTTAAAAAATTATTTATTAATTATGTACACAGCGTTTTCCCTACATATATGCTGCAGACAAGAAGAGGGCACCAGATCTCATTACAGATGGTTGTGAGACACCATGTGGTTGCTGGGAATTGAACTCAGGACCTCTGGAAGAGCAGTCAGTGCTCTTAACCTCTGAGCCATCTCTCCAGCCCTTATGTATCTTTTTGATGCATTGTTAATTACAAAACAAACCTTGGCACTGGGGATAAAGCTCAGTTGATAGGGTGTTTGCCTACTGGGCATGCAGTCCTGGCTTCAGTCCCTAGAACCACACAAAACTGGGAGTGTAATTCCTCACCTAGGAGGTAGAGGCACAAGAATCAGAAGTTCAAGGTCATTCTTGGCTCCATAACTAGTTCAAAGTCAGTCTGGGCTACATGAGACCTTGTATAAAGCAGGAAAAAGAAAGTCTTAGAACATATTAGCAGCAATAGCTGCCCCTGGCAATGGTCAGACAGGCACTAGGTGCTAACTCTGAGCTAGGCAGGCTCATGGAGACTCAAATGCAAAACAACACTTCCAGGAAGATTCAGTGGGCATTCACAGTAAGGCTAGCAGCTCTCTAGAGCTGGAGTCGGCTCTGTGCAAAGAGGGTGCTTCCTTCCTGGGATTCAGATTCCTGGGTATTGGTTGCCTTAGATGCTTCTCTTTCAATAAGCACATATAGGCTGGTAGCTTGCAAAGATAGAAGGATCAGTTACCAGGGAAACCGAGGCCCTGAGAACCTGTAAGGGAGAAAAAGAGAAGGTGAAATCTGATCCCTTTTTCACCTAAATTTTTGACATTCTGTTCAGAGATAGGCTTCTTGTGTTAATGTTGATGGGTTTTAAACATTAAAATATGATAAGTCTTGGTTACTGGGAACCCTTTTATACCGTAGAGCCTGGGTGATTATCTCTCTTGCTTACACTCATCCAGCCCTGCGGGCAGAACAAGAAGAAAGAACCAGTCTTTAGTTCCTAAATGCAGGCAGCAGCTATATCATCAAGCTGCTGAAGGCCTGGGGCTGGGGTGAAAGGGCTGGCATCACAGCTGCCAGAGTTAGTGGGGTAGAAGACTCTTGACCTCCACTGGGGCTGGTGATAGAGCAAATGGGAGGGAGGTGCCCTGGGCCTCAAGGGTAACTCCCAGTGACCAACTCCTTTAGGGTGGGCTTGGTGTCTCCTCTCTGTCCTTCTTGGCTCAGGCCTGGAAGTAATCCCATTGTGTTGTGGAGAACAAAAGTGGGGTGCAAAGTGGAGAGGGTACTCAGGGGTCCCAAGGAAAGTTCTGAGGAGGAGACTCCAGAGTGGGGCTCATCAAAGAAGAGTTTTGCCCAAAGTGGGACAGGAAGGAGACAAGGTTAAGAGCAGCGTGACAAAGAGTGCTGTGTCCCTGCCACAGCACAGGATGGAACCCTGAAACTCCCAGAGTTGGGAGCACAGTTTCCAAACAGCCCTGAGTTTTCCTCCATTCCCCATGCCAGAAGCCTTGAGTTCTTTGCCTGGCTGACATGGTTTTTATGTAAAACTTCCCTCTTACCCCAAAGGAAATGAGCCAGAGGTAGGAAGTGTTTAAGATGGGCTGGGTCTGGCTCAGGTTCCCATCATTGCCCCCACCATTGTCTAGGATTGTCTCTCCCCCAGGGAATGAATGAAAGTGTTGTGTGAGCCCCCAAGAGAGAGAGGTCAGGCCTGCCCAGCATTCCTCCAGAAAGCAGTTAGGAAGCTTAAGGCAGGAAAGGAAAAGTCCAAGCAGAGACAGGATTGGATAGCCAGGTAGGCGGGTGTAGAGCCTGGAAGAAGGGCTCTAGGAAAGAGATCCCGACCAGGGTCATGGGTGCAAGTCAAAACCCAGGCAGCAGCTTCAAGGCCGGCTCTGCAGAAGGAAGGGCCTGAGTTTTGTCCAGACAGCCCAAAGTCTTCCTCTAAAAAGAGAAAACTACCAGTGAAGTCTTATTGCCTGGGTGTGCCGAGCCCAGCTCAGCACTGTGTTCTCCCCAGCAGTGGCCTGCTCCTCTCGTACCTGTCCCAGCCGGACCCCAGGAGCCAGAGGATCAGTATTCTGTGCTTTCTGAATCCACTCTGATGAGGACTCTGTATGGGTCACAAAGCTTGGTTAGCAAAGACTTTTGGGCAGGAAACCAAGAAAAAGCTGACTCTCTGTGCTTCAAAGCTGTTTTCCTGGGTCCTAAGCGTCATCATCGCTGGTTTCCAGACGGCACACCCACTCGCAGACTTCCAAACTACCTTTGCCTTCAGTTGTTCCCCCTGACTCGCTCAGAACTACCATTTGTCTGAGCTCTTTCCAGAGGCGGGGGAGACCTGGATTGAAAAAGGCTAGAGACCTCCAGGCCCAGCCTCTGGATGCCGAGAGGCTCAAGCATACATAGACTTGTAGTTTAGTGGTACTCAGAAGGGGGTCTCCTTAGGCGATGGGAGAAGGAGGATCCAGGACACAACACCAGCCTGTGCCCAGACCTGGATAACCAGAGCGTGGACAGTAAGAGGGAGTGGATCAAGGCTAAGTTCTGTTCTCTTGGAGTGCAGTCAGTGAAGCAGCGCACCCAAATCAGAGGCTCCTTGGCTCTCTTCCTGGACCTTCCAGGATTTTTCCCATGATCCTCTGTGTCTTAGATTTCCTTGACCATCCTAAACTGGGGCAGTTTCCACATCCACTCATGTAAATGAGGGCAAGAGCCAGCCTCAGACTTCACCCTAGCTGCCATCCCTGATCACTTGTCCTAACTGTCAGGGTAACCCCAGTCTCCTCCATCCTTTCCTGCCTTGCTTTCCTCTGACTTCCCTGCCTGAAGACATATGGCTCCATTGATTTGCTGAGTTTTGTCAGCCCCGCCCCACGTCAGTGTTGGTCCTAAAAGTCCAGGGGTCTAGCCCTTGTGGGCTCCTAGGACTTCATGTAAACCAAGAATTCATAAAAGAGAGTCTTATTCAGGTACCGAGTCCTTGCATGGGGGAACACAGACCCAGTTGGGGAATCCATGGTGCTCTTCCTCTGCAGGAGCGTGCCTAGCAGAATTAAGTGGGACTGGGGCAAATTTGGTGGTTAGAAACTGGAGCAGACCAGAATGGCCACAATTTTAATTTTTATTCTCGAGGTACCAGGTTGAGGCAAACTGATCTATCTCATATTTTTCAACCCTTGCCAGGTGTTGTTAGATTTCGGAAATCAGTTTCTCTATCAGATTCAATTCCTCTTCTGGTATCTCTGAGGTAATTTGCTGACACAAAAATCCCCAAAACATAGGAAAGGATTTTGGTTCAGTTTTGACCATTCCTCGGCCACGCAGTTGTTGGAGCCGGGCCAGGCCTGTCATGGACACTCTGTAAACACTTGTCGAGTGAATGGGTGGTGGATAGTGACGCTTGTCATGGGTGCTGGCATCTCCCGGTTGCTGCTGCGGCTGTCTGTGGCTGTTTGCTCCCTGCGAATTCTGCCGATGCCCTAGTCATTCTGGTCGCCAGGCTTTCGTCTGTAGAGTGAGACGGAAGGAATTGTCAGTACATTGCCGAGCTCTCTAAATGCTCAGAACCTGGGGCATCCTTTCCAAAGTCCACCTGACGCCTCTTCCCCCACAATTCTTAGCACAGCTACTCTAGGCTAAGGACACACGTCTCTTCCTGTTTCTTTTGTCTCTGACGATCAGAATGGAGTGCAGGGTAGGAGGCTGTGAGTCACCTTAATATTCCCTGGACCAGTTTCCATTCACATACCTACATGATTTATACTAATTGACTTCAGTATAGTTCATAATAGTTTATTGCTGTCAGTGGATGTAATTTGTTATGTGTGTTATTCAAAACCACCCGATTTAATTTTTTCTGTTGTTAACTGTTTTCATAAAAATAAACAGGATTCAGAAAAGCCTAGAAGTCCATCTCGTGCGCCCAGATTTGGGATTTGGACCTGGGAGCACTTGGGAATGAACACACTATGGGGACTGGGCTGTCCCTGGTATGCTCAGGTGCACATATTTTGAGTGCTTCTGAGAGCTTCCTACAATCCCGGAGTCTGTCTGATGCCTTCTGGGAGGAACAGCAAAGGGGACCCCACACACAGAGGCTCCACGTAAACTCTGGTGGTGGAAGTTTCAAGAGCCCAGGTATTAGCTGAGTAACAGGGATGGCCTGGGATGGGGCTGAAGGACAGGTCTGGCAAGTTCCAGGCTGTTTATACCCGAGATTACCTCACACATCCGACCAGTTTCCCCGCCCCATCTGCTGGGGGCCGGCCCTCAGCCTTCAGTCTCCTTTTCCCGACATGCTGGAGGACCTGGGGGTCAACATGGATCTTCCCCTTGACATCAGCTGAGCCTAGAAGACGCATCCTCTCAGACCATGGACAGAGGCAGCCACCGGATGAGTATGCCAACATCTCCCAGGCTCTCCCAGACTTGAGCAGGGACGGGCTGGAGACAGGTGGGGCACTGCCAAGGCCTGCCCTGGGTTTAGGGACAATAGAATGCCTCTTCTAACTGGACGCTGCCTAGGACCCGGAGATCTCAACCTCCTTTTATCTTCATCCCTAGAAGGAGCCCTAGGAGGAGAAAACCATAAAACATGGGGTCTGGTTACTAGGCACGCCAGGACTGTGTGGCTGAGGCATGGACAGGACTTTGTCTATGCTTGGCAAAGACATCACTGCTGTTACATGGTCAACTTGGCTGGTTGAGAATCTGATTTAATCTAATTTATTTTTTGCTGGTTTGAGAACCAAGAACCTCCTAAACCTTCCCAGGAAAAAAATGTGACTTTTCTATATACATTTAAGATTTTCAGGGAGGATTTTATCTACTCTTGGTCACTAATTAGGGGACTTAATGCACATGGAAAGTTCTTACTTATGTCTAACCATAGTATCCTCTGATACAACTCAGGCTTCTTTCTTCTGCTGCTTTTAGAGGTGACGGATAGCAGTGGGGGTGTCCTTCGTGAAAAGCGAGTGCATCAGGTATCCCCAAAGCTTTGTTCAATGCACCCCTTTCTCCTTAACTTTCCCTTGGCTCCTGTTTTCTGTTCCTGTCCACACTTTTGTACTTTATTGACACTGTGAGATCTGAGACTCTGGGAAGGATTAACAAGCCCTGGGTTTGAGGATGCTCACCCCATCCTCTGTTCTAGGCTGCAGTTAGCTTGTGGTCCGTTCTGACCCTGGGTATGTGTCTGCTGAGGGTTCTGTCTTCGTCTCCTTTTCCAGACACCTCTAGACTCTTCCTCTCCTCAGCTGCCTCCCTTGCTCTCTCTACTCTCTTGTCCTTTTGGCTCATGTCTTCAAGCTCAGCAGAAAGGGGCTACACAGGGAAGAATGATGTATTGTAGGAGGCATGGGACCCCGTGGCCACAGCCATGGATTGCCCTTCTTGGAAATTTGCTAGTCCCTAGATTCAAAGAAAGTGCCTGAGTTATCTAAAAGGTGGTGAGTTTGAGCTGGGCACAGGCAGAGAGCTTACCCCTTTTCCTGAGCTGGGTTACAGAGGTGATATCTATCTGAGGAACTTACCTCCCCAGAATTAGGAGCAAGGAGTCTATAGTTGCCCCCAATCTTGTCTCATAAGGTTTCCTAAGTTAAATAAGAGCAGGATGAAGCAGCTAGGTGTGGTGGTGCATGTCTGTAATCCCAGCAACAGGGAGACAGAAACAGGTGGATCTTTGTGAGTTCAGGCCAGTCTGGTCGGCATAGTGAGTTCCAGTGGTGGTCAGTGGGCTTCAGTTGCTGGTGCTCCTGCAGCATGTGCTGACCTTCAGGAGGCTCATAGCAAGGGGTGGAGAAGGCAATGTTGCTGCTCTGTATTCTAATAGAAAGCAGAGTTGGATGAACTGGGTGGTACCCGTCTGCTATGCCCACTATGCTGGAGGTTGAGGCAGAAGGATAAAGAGTTAGTCCCAGGCCTCCCTGGGCTACATAGCAAGACTGAAGTTGCAAAATAACCCGAGAAAGAGCCACTCGTTATGGTAGACAGAAGTGATAGAACACATTGACTTCAGCTTCCCGGCCCTTGGTGTCTTCACCTATTAAATGGAGCAGCTGTCTCAAGGACTTCCACAAGTCTTCTGTATAGTCCGGCTCCTTTTGAATGGCATCTGGTCTACCACAGGTGCAGACACAGTCATGGCATGTAGCTTTCTCGTCTCCATCTCCATCTGGAGTCTAGTGTTGGCCCCTCTAAACTGGGACAGACTCTTCTTGTTATACCTCAGTTTCCTCACCTGACAAAGAGAAGGGCTGGACTAATGGTCCCGAAGATCTCTTTCTGCTTTCACGGCAGTCACTGGAATGATGCACAGTGGGATTGCAAGTATGTCCTACTGGGTGTATGTGCTGTTCTTGTGCTTTTGCCAAGGGGGTCATGTTTTTCAATGCTTGGAGGAACTGAGTGCCTTCTAAGGAAGATTGAAGTCAACCCATTGATCAAGCAGTGGCACTTTGGAGAACAGATTTTCCTGTGCCTGGAGTTCCTGCAGTGCGGCTGGCTATATGTGAGGATATGTGAGGCCCAGGCTGAGCCAAGACGCACACCCTTCCCAAAAGGCTGACTGTGTTCCCAAGATGCAGGACCGGTACTCTCAGGACCCCTTGACATCCTACTGCCCCAACCTGGAGGCACTGTCAACAGCTTGCCTTTGTCCTGTCGGGTCACACCCCTCTCTGGAACACCTGTTTCGTGCTGTCACTGGTGCTGATCAGCATGCACCTGGCACACCCCACCGAGTCTCATTCTGTCTTGTCCCCTGTGACTTAGTGTGAATATGTGGGAGTGAACATTGGGCTCCAGGCTCAGCACTGGGCGGGAAGAGTGACTGATGTAACAGTGGCCACTTAGCTTAAGTGTCTTGTTTTGGCAACACAGTTTCCTCCTGTATAGCAACAATGGGGGTGGACTGTACCCTGGCAGGTGGACAGGTGGGAAAACACAACAAGACATCAGCTTGTCCTCCAAACGAAGACCTTGGCATTCATGGGTTGAGGCTCCTCTGTTGGAGACAGCCTAAAATACCCACTAGGCCCTAGTTCCGTACATCACCACCTTTGTGTGAAGACAGGAGAGGCTTAGCAGGGAAACAGAGGCAGACAATACCATTTGCTTGGCAACATTTTGAGCACTCAGTGTTTTGTTTTTATTTTTAATCTTTATGTAATTATATGATGTATAGGTGTTATACATTCTCTCTCTCTCTCTCTCTCTCTCTCTCTCTCTCTCTCCAGGGCTTGTGTGGGAGTCAGAGGACATCCTTGAGAGTTGGCCCTTTCTTGAGATGGACTCTCTGATTTTCACTGTTGCATACATGCTTTAGGTTAGCTGGCCCATTCCCTTAGAGAAATCCTCCTGTCTCTGCCTTCCATCTCACCATAGGAGCACTGGGATTACAGATGTGCGCTGCCATGTTTGACTTTACATGGGTTCTGGGGATTTGAACTCAGATCTTCACACCTTCATGACAAGTACTGTATCCCCGAGCCATCTCCCTGGGTTCACACACCATGTTCTTTGAACAAATGAGCAAATGAATGAACAGATGGATGAATGAATGAAACAAATGAATGAATGAACGAATTGATGAATGAATGGCTGATCCATCAAGTGAAGAGTGAGGTATGATCTCATGGTTCCTCCTTTCGATCTCTTTCATGTGCCAAGAGGCATTCTAAACTGGAAAACTTGGGATGCTCGCTCACCCACGGCAGTCATTTTCAAGTTCTTGCAGTAGTTGCCTCTTCTATTCAAACGAAATACTGGGTAGAGGCCACTGCATGAAAAAAATGTGAATTTCTGTCTGGAGGGGGGTAGAGGGCTCAAGCCCTACCATGAGGGCCCATGACTGAACTCCATGCTAAGTCTATGAGACCTTAATGTTATGGAAACCTCTGGGAAACAGTTGCCAATCCCTTCATTTTAGGCATTAAGGAGCCCAGAGCCTTCAGGGACATAACTGTCCCCTAGCTCACACAGCTGCCTAGGCTTGAAGCAAGCTCTTGTACTTCACACAGCATTTGCTGATCAGGCTGACAGGGTCCCTGAGCTCATATTGCATGCAAATGCTGGGAAAGCTGGTACTGTGTTTGGGAAGAGGCAATAGAGGACGGCCTGTGTTCTGAAGGGGCTTGTGTCTATGGGGTTCTCTAGAGGAGGAGCATTGGGGAGAGCCATGTCCCAAGGGGCACTGTGGAGCCTGGCTTTGTGTTGGACCAGTCTGGTCCTCGTGGGGGTGGGGTTTAAACTCCCCTGTCCTCACTCCAGTAGCCAGGAACTTCTAGGTTTATCAAACGTAGCTCGTGGACTAGACAAGGGGAGGCGTATGTTAAAGAAGGAGCGGTGGGCTGTGTTCCTGCCCAGATCCAGGCTAGCTTACTCCCGAAATAATTACATGGAAACTTCATTCATTTAATCACTGCCTAGCCCTTTGTCTGTAGCCTCTTATTGGCTAACTCTTACATATTGATCTAACCCATTTCTAATAATCTGTGTAGCACCACGAGGTGGTGGCCTACCGGGAAAGATTCAGCATGTCTGACCTGGCGGCTAGTTCCATGGCGTCTGCCTCACTTCCCTTCTTCCCAGCATCCTGTTCAGTCTACTCCACCTATCTAATTCCTGCCCTATCAAAAAGCCAAGGCAGTTTCTTTATTAACCAATGAAAGTAACATATAGACAGATGACCCTCCTACATCAGGCTTACCTATCATTCCAGCTCTTGAAAGGCAGAGGATTGGGAGTTTCAGCCCAGCCTGGGCTATATAGCAAAATTCTTGAAAAACACAATGATAGATGAAAAAAAAACAACAACAATAGTTTCCAGTAGGAATTAGGACTCCAGAGTGCTGGGCTCTGACCATGGTCTAGCCCATGCGTCTCCTCCTTTGACAGTCCCTAAAACTTAGGGTCACTAGTAAAGAGGGATGCCCCAGAGCCCAAGTTTGGGCTTGCTTACTGGAGGTGGCAGGAAGAAAGCAATGGCACATACGGCATTAGATAGCAGCAACTCAAGGATGGGACCAGGTGACCTGTGGCCCTGCCACTGCCTCCAGATGGCCTCTTGGGCTCGTCAGAGCCTCTCTGGACCTTGGCCACCATCTTAGAAAGAAAGCTGCGATTAGTGGGGTTTCAGGGTCCTTCCATCCCTTGACGGTTCTATGAGGGAGTGGCCCTGGAAGGGAGTTCCCACAGGCCTGTCTGAGGTGAGCCTGATGGTCTGTCACTGCAGAGGCCGCTGCACATTTTCTGGGTCCAGCAGAAAAGCTTGTGTGGGGCTCTTCTCGTGGGTCGTGTGGGGCTGAGGAGCCAGGGAGCTCAGCCTACAGCAACAGCTAGCTAGCTAATGAACCTCCAGGAGACTCAGGGGAGGTCAATCAGGACACACTCCAGCTGTTAACTAGCTCCCGTGCCCCACCACCTAAGAGAACAAAACAATGCCCCATTCACTGGGGGTGAGGAATCCATTCCTGGGAGCTGAGGTAGAAGGGACACAGGACTAGAAATGGGGACTTCAGGGGCTTTAGCTCCTGTTCTGTTATATGGGTCTTTGGAAAAAATATACATATGTGTGTGCATGTGTGTGTGTGTGTGTGTGTGTGCGCACGCGCTTACCTGCATGCATGTGCTCATGTGTGTGGTGCATGCATGTGAGTGCACAGGTATATGAGTATGTGGCCGTCAGAGCAGGGTGACTACTGTCTTCCTTTATTGATGTCCTCCTTATTGCCTTGAGACAAGGTCTCTCCTTGAACCGGAAGTGTACTGATTCTATTAGCCTGTGCCTGGTGAGCTCTAAAGGTCGGAGTCTCCATGTCCCCAACACTAGGATGACAGCCACACACAGCCATGTCCATCTTTCTGCCTTCCTTTATAGTATACCCTTCCTGCCCTCTTGGTCTCTAGTGACGCACCAGGACCTCTAGACAGTTCAACAAACTGTGAACAGGTTCCCCGAAGCTTCTCAGGCGCAGCCAGGAGCATCAGAGGTGACAGCATGTAGCGTGTTTGATGCCTGATTGTTATGAAAAAGGATGACCTTTGAGACCATGGGGTGGGGTCAGAAGGAATTAATGGTAGTGGTAGGAAATGTCCCGAGTTATCCAGGTGCTAACTTGGTCATCAACACCTGCCCATGCAGCTTGCACGGCCTCTGCAAGGCCTACAGTCTGTAGGAGGTGTGTAAATGGCAGGGCCCTGCAAGGACTTGATCACAAGTTCTTTTCCGGGAGGCTGTGCTCACTGGCAAAGGCTGGGATTGGGAGGCCTGAGTTTTGGTCCCCTGGTTCTACCTTAGTACCTAAGGACGTTGGGCAAGAAGTCTCCTCCCTTCCTGGGGCCCCATCTGTTGTCAGGGTGAAGTCAAGCCTCATATGGGAGGGTGACATCTCTGCCATTGCTTTCCAAGGATGGAGGGGGAGGAAATGAGTTAATGCTGTAGTAGGTTAGACATCAGGAAACACTTCCAGAAGGGTGGAGTGGCAGGACAAGAAATGCATACAGAGGGAGGCTGTGGGCTCTGGAATTTTCCTCATGGGCTCTGAAGATGAGGGTGCTTCCTAATGACCTGTGAAGTCTGGGTCAAAGTTCAGTGACTTCTGTCTTCTTGTCTTAAAGCTGTCCTTCTATTCTGACTCCTTCCTGGGACTCACAGTTCTCCAAGTGTCATTTCTCATGAAGATTTTGGGGTTCTAGGTCCTACCACATAGGTCTGAGAGGCCCTACACTACCCAGTTCCCCAACCCCCGCCCTGATAACACAGTGCTAAGTCTGTCAAGACTGGGGCTGAGTGCTCTCTGACCCGGACTCCCCACCAGCTTTCCAGCAGTTCCTCCTCTAGCTTCTACGAGCTTCTCACCTTGCTGTCCCAACACTAGTTTCTTCTCTGTTCTCACTCTCTCTTACTCCAACTTCACAAATCTCCCCTCCCCTAATTTCCCTGTATTCCTTGCCCTGGACCTTCTTAACCTCCTCCCCTCAAGCCCTTTGTGATGAAGTGCCAGGATCACAGGGTCATGCTCAGTTGGAGACAGCTAGGGTCCTTGGCTGGGGACTCAGAATATTGGGAGTTCCTTTAACTGGGAAGCTGGGGCCATTCCCCTGAGTCCCTGCTCCCTTGGATAGAGTGTGGATGGCTGATCCGTGACTGTGGCTTAGGCAGGTAGTGTGCAAACCTAGGATGTACAAAGCCCTGGATTTGATCTTCACCTTTGCCCAAACTGGGTATAATGACACATACCTGTAGGTAGATCAGAAGTTCAAGATCATCTCTGGCTACATCAGGAATTCAAGACTAGCCTGAGCTACATGAGACCCCATCTCAACAAACAGACAAGCAACTGTGTAAACAAAACCAGAGAAGGAGAGCAGAGATGGCCATTCTTACCAGGCCCTTTGGGAGAACCAGACTGGACAGTATGTGTGAAACTCTACAGATGGTGAGCCCAGGAGTCACGAGGGAGACTGCTCTGATCATTTGTGACATCATTGGTTACAAGTTGGTCTGTTTAGAACACAAGCCCTCTTCCTTACTCGACCTAGAAATTTGAAAATTGATCACCTTTTTATTATTAATTTTTTGCATGTGTGTTGTGTGTGGTACACTCACAAGAAGGTCAGAAGATAACTTGCAACAATCATTTCTCTCCTACCATGCAAGTGGACAGGAATCAAACTCTGGTTTCAGGATTGACAGTGAGCTCTATTACCAGTCCTCAGTTCTAATATCTGTAAAGTGGAGCCAACACTATCAACTACAAAAAGCGAGCAGGAGCTTGACATGGGACCAAGTAAGGTGCTCATGGGCTGTTACCTTCATTATAGCTTGACCCTCGTGTATAGTCCAGGCTTGTTCACATAGATTCCCGGTTGTATGGGGAAGGAGATGAGATTAGCCCTGTTTATGCAAGTCAAACAAGCTCTGGCTGGCTCTTGCCCTAGCAGGGAATGGGTGCAGCCCTGCTCAAGCAGATGAATCTCGAGCCAAGCATTCTCAAACATCAGGCAGACCCAACTGTCAACAGTCAGTGTCATCCCAGCCCTTACTATGTACAAGTGCTTTGCATGTCACATCTATGACTATTGAGATTCGAAGCCAGGTGATTACCCCCACCTCGCAGATAAGGAAGCTGATGTGGAAAGGTGTGAAGTCGCTTGCTCATATCACGAGGTTGAATTCGGGCATAGTCGCTGTAACCCTAGTGGCTGTAGTCCTGGGTCACAAGACTCCAACCAGGCCTGGTAGTCAGAGGGAATGGGGACAGGGAGGCAACCATAGTTCACAACAAAAAGTACCACAAGGCCAAGATCCTACCAAGAAATCCCTGGGTTCCGCCTCAGCTCCCAGCGGAGTTCCTGCCTTACAAGGCCCCAGACACCAATTCTTTGGTCAGGCTTCAAATGCTCAGAGGGCCCTGTGTCAGTGTTCAGAAAACAGCACCAACCAGTTTCTCACGGATGTAAGGAGCCCCGGGTGGGATCCTGACTCTGGTTTTGGTAATCCAACTCTAGAAAATTATCTTCTAGATGAACCAACTCTCAGGATGAGTTGAAAACCCCACAAGGACACAGATGTGAAAGTTTGTTGTAGATGCTAAAGTGTACTTTGCTATGTCAGACCATAGGAAGTTCCCCAGTGGTGGGGAAGAGTGGAGCGAGTTTGCAAGGATGGGCACCAGGGGAGGTGCTGTCACACGGGTCCCTGCCAGGAGTCAAGGTTCGGGCCACCACTGCTGGGGAGTTCGCTCAGGACATCGCATCGCTGAGGCCTGTCCCTCTAAATGAAGGGCCACAGTCTGGCTTTTTCCCAACACTCTTTTCTCCTCTCATTCACCCATACTCCATGGCCACTGCATCTCGGTTCTCTTGACCCTCTGCATGGAGAGACAAGGTGGAGAAGAAACCGTCATTTACTAGGTGAATTCTGCATCCTGGGCCCCAGCGAGGACTCCCCGGATGAGTGCCAGACTATTTTGCAGATGAACAGAAAGCTTTAAGAGACTCAGGGGCTGGTTCCAGTCCTTCTGCTATGCAAAGACGGGCCCAAGATTGGGCCCAAGGGCTGCCTGACTCTGTCAAGTGGATTCTCAGAGGAGAGAGTTGCTCAGGGGCAGAGTACTTGCCTAGTATACCCAAAGCCGAGTTTGGGCAAGGAGTGTAACACAGCGATGGAGCATTTGTCTGCCATACACGGTGCCCTGGGTTCTCCTCTCAGCACCCGTAGAAACAAGTATGGCTTCTCTAGTTCTGCCTTCCTTGTTCCCATCCTCCTTGTAGGGGCCAAATAAGTCAGCTAATTTTGGAAATCTATTCTCTAGACAGCAGCGGAAAGAGGGTGACCTTGGTGTCGGGACAGCTGGGGCAGCAGAAGCAGGTGCCTGAATGTCCCTAAACACAGTCAGATACAGCCCCGTGCTGCCAGCTGGGATGAGGGCACTCATGTGGAACTACCCCTGTCCATGGATGGGCCCCAGCAGTCTCTATGGGAGACTCTCTGGGTCCTGCCTTGAGTGTGGTCAAAATCTTCCTTGACCCCAGTACACAGGCCCCAGTAAAGTGAAGATGTGACCAATCCAATCACCTCTGAATCCCGGAGAAGAGGACTCGAAAATTATATTTGCTGTGTCTATGCAGTAGTGACAATGATCCCTGCTTATGTCCGATGTTCTCAAGAGGAGAACTCTGGACTGCTCTGCTCAGGACTTGTGTTGAATATGTTCAAGCAAAGGCCGTTCTCTGTCCCCAGCCACTTGCCCCAGAGTGTTCACCTCCCATTCAGTAGGGCCCACATCTGGAATGGGCTGGCTGGGAGTAGACACAGGAATGCCCTTCGCTCTGTTTGCAGGATGTTTCTCCAGCAAGGACACCACCTCAGGCTTCTCCAGCAAGGACACCTCCTCAGCCTTCTCCAGCAAGAACACCTACTCAGCCTTCTCCAGCAAGGACACCTCCTCAGCCTTCTCCAGCAAGGACACCTCCTCAGCCTTCTCCCGCAAGAACATCTCCTGTCCTGGCATCTCCAGCAAGGACATCTCCAGCCCGGGCATCTCCAGCCCGGGCTTCTCCTCCTCAGGCTTCTCCAGCCAGGTCGTCTCCAGTTGGGGTATCACCTACCAGGTCATCGTCGGGCAGGTCATCATCTGCCAGGTCAGCCTCCACGACATCCTCCCCAACGAGAGTGTACCTTGTTAGAGCAACACCATTGGGGGCTGTCCCCATCCGGGCATCTCCTGCCAGGTCAGCAGCAGCCACCAGGGCCACCGGGGAGAGCCCAGGTAAGGGGGGCATCGCAGGGGGGGCATCACAGGGAGGGCAGAGAATCAGGGCAGTGTCTTTGGGCAGAGGGATGCTCTCAGAAATCACTCTGCTCCTCATGACCCTGGAATAATGACACGGGAGAGAGCCAGAGCGGGACATGGGGTACCTGGAGAGGTGAGGGTAGACAGGGACCATAGCATGAGAACCTTAGACAGTGGAAAACTAGACAAAAGGAGGGGGATCCCAAAGCCAGGAGCTAGGAAACTGTAACATTGAAGACTGCTCTGCCTATCGGAGAGCTCTGATTCCAAGAGCAAGGGTTCCTAGCTGGAGGTGGGACTGATCTGCATGTGTGCCGGGGAAGCTAGGGTCTGCAGTAGTGCAAGGTCATGATCAGTGTGTCTGTTTCTATGTGGAAGAAGAATGAGAGGGACTCTGACACTCTTCAAGCTTCCAAACTTGTGCTTGTGCGTGCTCTCTCTCTCTCTCTCTCTCTCTCTCTCTCTCTCTCTCTCTCTCTCTCTGTGTGTGTGTGTGTGTGTGTGTGTGGTGTATGTGGCAGGGAGGCGGTGAGGGGGCATGAGGTTCAGCAGTTCAGTTGCTGGAAGGTCAAAGAGCGCGGTGGGCCTCCAGCCTCGGCTCTTCCCCTCAGGAGACTGCTCTCAGCCTGATCTCGATGTCTTACCCCCGTATACTCAAGTCTGGGTGCTATTTGACTGTGAAGAAACACTCAAGGTTTAGGGCCCATCCTCGCTTGTCCCTGTCCAGGGTAGAAGAGGCACTTTGGTGGGATGGATTCTGAAATGAGACACTGCATTGGAATCTCTGACCAAATAGTCACTAGCTTAGCGACTTTGGGTAACTAATTGCATTTCAATGAGCATCAGTTTCCCTATCTAAAGAAATGGACCTAATAAGACTCAGCTCATGGGATGCTGTGAAGATGAAATGGTAGGACACATGCACAGTGCCTGGCCAAGGGGAGGGGCTGCACAAGAGAGGTGGAGATGAGTAGGTAGGGGCAGAGATACATTGCAAGGCGCAAGGGTCCTAGCAAGATCGGCAGGGGCCAGTTTTGCTTCCTTCTCTGTCTTCCACCATGCTGGACTCCTCCCCAGCAGTTTTCCTTCCCTGCCACCCTGTTCTTAGGTCCCAGCTCGCCCAAGTTCTCCTGGCAGGAGACCCAGAGACAGCTGCCCCTCATCGGGTGTATCATCCTTCTCATCAGCCTGGTGATCTCACTCATCCTTCTCTGTGAGTTGAACAGAGGGGACAGGGTGGGTTTGGGTCATCTCGGAATGAAATGGGGTCATGGAGCCATACCACAGGGACGGAGGAACTCATATCCGTATAAGGGCCTTGGATTATGGGTCCCTTGAGACGACTGGGTTAAGAGTGTTGAGTACCATGGGATTCCGGGTTAGGGCCCATCATTATAGCTGAATTCTGATGATTCACTGGAGCAATCGCACTAACTCTATTGGGTTGTGTTTCCATAACATTAAATGGGATCCAGTTCATCATTAATCATTCAATTCAGCCCATACTTCATAAGATTCCACTTTACCTGGACCAAGAGAACCATATAAGGGAAGTGTACAATTTTTGGCATAAAATATCACTATGAAAACATATAGCTGTCTATGAAAACCCACATGCCATTAAAATAACGGAAAAGTCTCCGAAGGTCAAGGGATCAAAGTGTGCTGTCTGGGATCCAGGCCCTTCATGTTGTCCTTTGGGAAAAGATACTCAGAACATGCCCTAGGCTCCTTGATCAGCAATCCGTTAGAAACCAGCCCAAGAGGGGGAGCCTAGGAGGGAGCGAAGATGAGCGCATCTCATGCTGTTCCGTCCCAGGAAGGGTCATCCATTCCTGAGGAACAGAGCTAAAAGTAAATCAGGCTGAGTGGCCTCAGTGCCACTGTTGGGAACAAGAGAGAGGGTGCATGCAATTCTAGGTGAGGACCTGGAAAGTATGAGAGCAGACGTGCCTCTCTTGGACGTCAGAGGTGTGTGTGCCTATGGGGGGGCAGGTGATAGAGTTCTGCATTGGGTGGAGGAGAGGAATGCATCTACTCAGCGGGGAGATGCACATTTGAGAGCCTGGAGCCCATCTGTTTAGTTACACGAGGCCGGAAAGCTTTAACCATAGACTGAGGATTCTGTGGAAGAGGCAGCATGAGATGGTAAACGGAGAGATGGATGGGTGCATGGAAACTTCCGGATGTCGCAGCTGTGAGGAGACGAGGGTAGTGTGCTGTTATGGCATAGTTTTGCGACCACACATTCCTGCTCTAGCATCCTGCCTCTGCTCCTCATGAGCTGTATGATGTCAGCAAGTTGCCATTTCCAGTCTCAGTTTCCCACCTGCTGACTGGGTGGTGCGGTCATGTAATGGCTTCCAGGTTGCCTTGATCTTGTATCTGCTCCTTCTCCTTTTGCCGGTAGAGTGCATTGTTTCTGAAAACAATGGGAATGACCCATAGAGGGACATGAGGCACTCAAAGGCAAGCTCATCGAGTAGCCTTAAAGCTCTAACCTGGCTCTGCAGCATTTCCCGAAGTCTCCATAGTTCCTTCATGGAGGCCAGAGAGGTAGTATGATCTATAGTCAATCCTGGCCTCTTGGTTTCTCTCCCATCATCACTCCATCCAAAACACTTCCCAGGGGTCCTAGACTGTGCAGTTTCCCAAGCACTGAGAGGAGCGCCCAGGACTCCTTAGAGCTTCAGCATCTGGGGTGTGGGAGGAGGAGCGAAAGTCACTGAGAGGAGAGCATACAGCCCTGAGGAAATCGGAGGCTGTGTGTCTGCACTGGGAAGGGACTGTCTCGGCAGGGGGCCTTCTCCTGAGTGATCATGACCATGGTGGAGCTGGGGAGACAATATGGGGTCAGAGCTGAGGAGATGCAGAGCTGGGATTCGGGATTTGGGGTTAGATGACAGGCCTGGGGGGCAGGGGGCTGCATAGAGAGCTGTCTCGGGCAGTAGAGTGATAGATCAGGCTTAGAGGCAGAGGAAGACTTGGAGCTGGTTCCTCAAGAAGGTGTGAGAAGCTTCCTTGCACATTTGGAAGTGGCCAGACATTGTTGCTGACTGAGAAAACACAGAAAGGCATAAAGAGAGGCAGGGAAGCAAGGGCCAAAGACAAATGACACACGTTTAGGGGTGAGGAAGGAAGACGCAAACTTAGATCTGTTCAGAAAACAGACCAGGTGGTGGTGGTGTTCTCTCTCCTCTCTGTCTCTCTTTCTCTCTTCCTCCCTCCCCCTTCTCTCTTTATGGTTGTATGCATGTAGCACAGAGAAGAGGTGATTCCAGAGTGGTTCCAATAGGGAACTCTGGGTACTGAAGGAGAAACTTCCTCTGGCTACTGTCCTTTCTAGCATATAGGGTAAAGAAGCTTCCAAAGTATGATCCTTGGCCATCTCTGGTTATTTCTCTGGTCTCTTTTCTTCTCTGGGTAGCTAGCTGTTCGAATCTGTCTGGGGCTGCTCTGATTGTGGAAGCTTTCTAGAACACTCCTGAGCAGCCTTTCTCTCCATACAGATGGGGGACGAGAGCCCCAGAGTCCAAGAGGGACTGCAGGTCGGTGTCTGAGAATCCCCAGGGCCTTGGGCTGCTGAGTGTGCTGCCCCTCAGTTGCTGGTAATGACCAGCTGTCTGCTCTGTCGATTGTTCTGTTTTTCCAGTCTACTTCTGGCGAGGCCACACAGGGATTAAGCACAAAGAACCAATAGAGAGTTGTTCCAACCACGCCGTTCGCTGTGATGGAGTGGCAGACTGCAAAATGAAAACTGATGAGCTGGGCTGTGGTAAGAAGACTGAGCACGGGGAGGCGTGCGTGTGTGCGTGTGTGTGTGTGTGTGTGTGTGTGTGTGTGTGTGTGTGTGTGTGATGGAGTGGTGGACTGCAAAATGAAAACTGATGAGCTGGGCTGTGGTAAGAAGACTGAGCACGGGGAGGCGTGCGTGCGTGCGTGCGTGCGTGTGTGTGTGTGTGTGTGTGTGTAGGCACCTGTTTATACACTCTGGGGACTTGACACAGTATGAAATGTAGTAGCTCGGGCAAAAGCAATGGGCAGAGAATTAGAAGATCTTGGTTTGAGTCACAGCAGACAAAGATTTGAAACTTGGTTTTGAACATTATATGACATGGGTGCACTACCTACGTCTTAGAGCTTCTGACTGCTAACTTGTGAAATTAACGGGCAGGATGAGATTGGTGACAGTGACATAAACTCTGTCGGACAGAGAAAAACAGGAAATCTGACTGGAGACAGGCCGAGGGTGCTCTGAGCCCAATTTCTATGTTTAGACTTGTGACCCCTTTGGTTTCTTCAAGTCCTAGCCGAGCACAAAGACCTGTTGGGCCCTAGCCCTCTGTGGCTGTGCTCGCGTGGTCTCTCACACCCTACTGAGGGGTGTGGCTGTCCCATCCTTTCAACTCTCCATTTATTGATGCACACACCCTTGCCCATGGCTGCACCTATCTGCGAGCAAGCCTGTCCCACGAGCACACACTTGGGTCATCGATGCTGTGCTCCTTGTCATCTTTTCTTTTGAGCATGTCATTGCCTTCTAAGGGTGAGATGCTTGTCCGTCTCCCAGGAACAGCCTCCGGAGTCCTGATAGATGAACCCATCCATGTCCCTTGGCCTTCACTCTGTGCTTATGAAGGCCTTGGGCCTCCAGACATCACTGCTTGGGCAACCCAGCCTTCCCACAGCTCTCCCAGAGCCTCCCACAACTTGTTCCCAAGAGCCTGGAGTTTCCTGGATGCTGAGACCCTGATCTGCCCTTCTCTGTCCTGCAGTCAGGTTCGACTGGGACAGGTCTCTGCTGAAGGTCTACTCTGGGTCCTCTGGCGAGTGGCTCCCTGTCTGCAGCAGCAGCTGGAGTGACAGCGACTCTAACAGGACCTGCCAGCAGCTGGGTTTTAACAGGTAAGCGTGGAATGAGAGTCCGGCATGAGCTGGACAGAGATCCCACCTCAAAAATTAAAGGAAGAGGAAGGAAGAGAGAAGGGGGAGGAGGAGGAAAGGAGAGGAAGTAAGGAGGGGAGGGAAGGAGGGAGAGAGGAAGGAACAGAGGGAGAGAGGGAGGTAGGAAAAAGGGAAGGGGCCCTGCAAGACCCTTGCTGATCCCACCAACCCAGGACACTTAAAAAAGGCAGTGTCCTGGGTTTCCCTTTGTGTTGGGGAATCTGTGATTGCATTGGTCTCCCCAGGGCTCTTTTTGTGAAAACACCTTCCGGGCCATCACCAACTGAGTGGTTCTGGGATGGCTCTGTGAGGAGGGTGGGTGTTGGTACAGATCTCATTTCTTACACTGGGCACTAAGAGCTCAAATGTGCAAAACTTTAGTATGCTTTGAACGACAGCAGTTGTGGCTTAGTTATGAAGCTCATTGAATGAGAAACAGGACAGGACAGGTGTGGTTTGGCCAAGTCCTGTGAGGCTTTGGCTTTAAAAGTTTTCCACCAAGGAACCAGTGTTGGGGGCCTTACTACTTGAAGGCTCCTCTCACCTGAAGGCCAAATAGACACCTCCAAGATTCACCATCATGGTATGAGGTGTGTGTGTGTGTGTGTGTGTGTGTGTGTTTGCACAAGTATGTATGTATGTAGGCCAGAGGGTCAGCCTCAAGTATTTCTCAGGATTCAGTCACCTTATTTTTTTGAGAGAGGGCCTCTTTTTTCTTTCTTTCTTTCTTTTTTTTCTTTCATTCTTTCTTTCGTTCATTCTTTTTTTTTTTTTTTTTTTTTTTTGTACCTTGGAGGGGCAACCGTGGGAGCTGGGAACTGAACTCATATTTTTGGTTGTGAGTATAGCCTTTAACGGCTGAGCCATCCCTCCAGGATGAGAGGGTCTCTTACCAGCCTAAAGCTTGTGAGGTAAGCTATTCAGGCTGGCCATCGAGCCCCAGGGATGGGCCTGTCTGTGCTTCACGATACCAGCCTTTACACAGGTCTTCATGCTTTTGTGACGCACTTTCCCAGCTGAGGTCATCCTCAGTCCTTTCTCTGAGCTCTTCAGCTGAGTGGTTTAGGGCTGAATGAGTGAATGTGAGGTCGTGAGCCCCCCTAGAAGAAACACCTAAAAAGACAGGGTTGGAGCTAGGACTCAGAGTGTGTTCTCTGCCACTACCTTAGTCTCAGAGTCCTGGTGTATAAAGGAAGGACGGACTGTTCCAGGCTTAAGTCCCAGCTGTCTTTGTCCATGTGTGAGCTCTTAAAAGCAGAAAGCCCTCAGCATTCTCTTCGATTGCCATCTATGCAAAGAGCATCCACAGAGCTTCTAGGAAATTATGGGACTCATAGGCATAAAAAAACAAGATCAGACCCTCTAGTGTGATGTGGGAAAGGGTTATCCCAGAAGGCCCACACCAAGGGTATGTGGGGGGCTCTGCTGGGACACAATGGAGAGGATTCTTAACTGTGCTTGGGGAGAGGAATGGCATATTCTCAGGCCCAGTTCACGAAGGATATAGAATGTTCTAGAAACGTATGTAAGTTCCAGGCAGAGTAGAACATACTGCAATCACTGGGGTGCTTGTGAAAATGGACCTCACATCTGAATCGCCAGATTTAGGACTTAGAACTTTTTTTTTTTTTTTTTAGCAAATGCCCACAATAATTCAGAGGCAAGCTGTTCTGAGAGTCACTATCATATATACCGGGTCACTCTCCGGGTGACCGTGAGTGAGCTGTCGGCTTCTCATCTTGCTCAGCTTGCCTTTTTATACAGCTTAGTACATCTGCCCAGGAATGGCACCACTCCTAGTGAGCTGGGCCCTCCCAGGTCATTAAGGAAGAAAATACCCTACAGAATTGCCTACAGGCCAGTCCTATGGAAGCATTTTCTCAATTAAGGTTTTTTCTTCCCAGACGACCCTAGATTGTGTCAAGTTGATGTAAAAACCAGCCACTCCCAATATAAAGGGCTAGCTGAATGTTCTCAAAGTCAAGGGTGCACCAGAACTTCCTGGAGCTGTTAAGACATAGGTGGCTGGGTGTCCCTCAGAGCTGTTTCAGTTCATTTGAGGTGGAGCCAAGAACGTGCCTTTCGAACCAGGACCTGGTGCTGTGGCCATACCTACACCATACTGGAGAGTTATTGGGCTAGCTAGTAGGGCTGGCGCAGGGGAGCGGCAGAGCCTGTGACAGAGTCAGGCTTTGAATATTGTGCAGACTTTGCCACCACCCAGGCCATCCTGGCCTGCCTCTGTCTGCTAGGCCATAGGGCTCTGATGCTGCTGGAGGACTTAGGGTCGGCTGACTGTTAGTACTCATTCTCCCTCCCTCCTCTTTGCAGTGCGTACAGAACAACCGCAGTGGCCCACAGGGACGTCACCAGCAGTTTTCTACTGTCCAAATACAACTCCACCATCCAGGAAAGCCTGTACAGGTGCAGAGTAACAACCGACAGTGCAAACAGAGGACTGGGGGGGGGGGGGGGGGGGGGGGGGGGCGGTGCTTAGTCAGGGAGCCCCTCGCTCCTACTTTCCCGGAACCCAAACTCCCAGGCTCCATTGCAAAATGCTATGGACACCTAGGGCTCCAAAGATCTTATCTGAGATCTGGGGCCGAGATCACCCCAAGGTCAGAGGCCCCTGCCTTCTAATCTCAAAGGGCTTGCCTGATCTAAAAGATGACTAAGAAACCATGGGGCTACAGAGATCTAGTCCACAAGGCTCCCCCTGGTGGTGGTAGAATGGAAAGATGCATCTCTGGGGACAGGAACAGGGGACTGACAGGCACAAGTGGCCTGGACCCAGGAGGTTCATCTGTGAAGTTTCAGCCCCTCCTGTCATCTTTGCACACAGCAGTTCCTCTTGATCCCAGCCATCCCCCACCCCTAAAGATGGAAGTCTTCCTGCTAGGATTGCTTACCTAATGTGAGGGTGAGAGGAGCAAGCCTCCAGTTGAGAGGTCCCTAGGTGCCTGCTTTGGTCTAGGCCCCCTGCATGCTACAATGAGGAGCAGGAGGCTATAAAAGAGGATCATTAGAGTCTGCTTAACTGTAGAAAGAGTTTAGGACCATGGAGGCTCACTGGGGCTCAAAGAACATGGAACTAGACTATATGTGTGGTTCACCAAAGGAAAACTGGGAGGGCAAGGGGATGATGGTGGAGATAGTTCCCTCGCATCCATATTCCTGGCAAAACACTAAAAGGAGAATCACCCACTGGGAGAGGGAGGGTCTGAATCCCCACCTCCTTTGCTAAAGGTAGCTTCCTTGGAAATGGGACAGGATTTGAGCAGGTGCCAGTCAGGAAAAGGAGGCAGCTATTGACCCCTTTCTCACCTTTTGTGTCCCGTGCTGCAGGTCTGAGTGTCCTTCTCAGCGGTATGTCTCCCTCCAGTGTTCCCGTAAGTTTTTCTTCTTGGAGTGTGGCCTATGAGGATGGGAGTGAGGGGGCTTTCTAGGGCAAAGGGATGGAAGCTTTCTAGGGAAGATGGTTGCTCTTGGGATCCAAGCCAGTGAGTCTGTTTCAGGACCAGAAAGTCTAAGGTACTATTTCCTGGGTAATATTTTCCTCCTGGTCCTCTGACCTTGGGGAGACCAGCCCTGACATCTCTGTCATTCCAAGGGAGTCATATGAGTCTCCTGGACTTTTGGTAAGGGCTGAGAACTGAGGGAGGACAGCGGGTGTGGGCAAGCTGGGAGTTTTGTGTCAATACTCATGCTTGTCCGTGGAAGGTACCGCGCCTCTGTCTGTACAGATATGGCTGTAGTTACTGACGTTGAGAGCCCTACAGGGCAACTGCCATTACTACCCAATGTCCCTTGCCTAAGATCAAAACACAGGCAGGTGAGGAGGCAGGCATAGATAAACCAGATCTATGTTTTTGGTGAAATCAGGGTGCAGGCTGTGGTTGTAGTACCCACTGCTCAGACAGAATGCTGTTCTCTGTCTTCTGCAAGCCCCATATCTGAGCACACCCATCAGGCTGCCCCTCCTTGTCCTGAGCGAATCCCAAGGAGAGTAGGAGAGGCTCTAAAAGAAGCGTGGGTCATGTTTTGTCCTCTCCGTTACTCCCAGGCTGTGGTCTGAGAGCTATGACCGGGCGGATCGTGGGAGGGGCTGTGACCTCAGAGAGCAAGTGGCCTTGGCAAGTCAGCCTGCACTTTCGCACGACTCACATCTGTGGGGGCACACTCATCGATGCCCAGTGGGTGCTCACCGCTGCCCACTGCTTCTTTGCGTAAGTGCCTGGGGTCGAGGGGGGGGGCTTGATTAGATGCTTCTGGGGACTTGGAGCCGCTAGGAAGGGCTTATGGACACTTTAGTGCAAGCCTAGTTCCTCAGGGTCGGTTGCTGCCCCAAAGATCAAATGTGAATGAGGGTTTGACTTTGAACTTGAGCTAAGGATGAGAAATGAGGCCCCTATGAAAAGTGAGGCAGACTGGAAGAAGACCTTCAGACCCTTTCCCGGAGAGCAGATGAAATGAAGCTCCAGGCTTGTTGTTAGCACCTCCTGCTGAAGAACTGACAGCACAAGAGTGACGATTGGGAATGCTGTCTCAGGACGTGGGGGACAGGGACAGCTGGAGGGTGGCACAGCTGGTTTCTGAGGGTCCCTAGCAGCCTTTGGGGACCCATAGCACAGGTCTTGTGGAAACTGGCTCCCCGCATAAATAATCTTCATTACTTGTCCTGTCTAAATCTCCGTGGCTGGTGACATCTGTCCCACCCCCTGGGTTCCATCCTTAGTGGCACACAGATGGGGTAGTGGGGATGCGTGACACGCAGAGGAGTTACTCGTTCATTCGGTTTTTCCCCCCACTCTAAGGCTCAGGGCAGCCAGTTCAGAACAATTTCGAGGAGAGTGAGAGGCCATTTTTAGGCTTCACGAGATAGAGGACTCCTTCAGAGGTCATTTAATCCATCCTCCTGTCTCCAGCCTAGTGCTCCCGCTTTGACTGCCCGTGTGTAGCAGGTCTTGCCGGTGAACTGTGCCCAGGTGTATAACTGCAGCCCTCATACTCTGTGGCTCTTGTAGGACCCAGGAGATGGTTCTGGAGGGTTGGAAGGTGTATGCAGGCACCAGTAACCTGCACCAGCTGCCTGAAGCTGCCTCTATCTCCCAGATCATCATCAATGGCAACTACACCGATAAGCAGGATGACTATGACATCGCCCTCATGAGGCTTTCCAAGCCTCTGACCCTGTCATGTGAGTGGAGGGGTCCCTGATTCCCAGCACCTTGACTTGGAGGCCCTGTTCATTAAGCTTAAGGCTCCAGGAAAAGCCAAGGAAACTTAGAGATTACATGAAATATTGTTTTATAAGTCAGAAAACTGGGGGTTTAGAGGAGATGAGTCAGTGCATAAAGTGCTGGCCACTCAAGAATGACGACTTGAGTTCAGATTCCCCGAACCAGAGTAAACAGCTGGGCATGGTGGTATGTGCCTGCAATGTCTGCGCTGGGGAGCAGAGACAAGAGGATCCCAGGGGCTTGATACCAGCCAAAGCTTCTAGTTCAGTGAGATACCTTGTCTCAAAAGCACAGGTGTAGAAATGATTGAGGAAAGACATCTTGACATTAATCTTTGACCCCCATACACTTGCGTGGGCAACAGCATCTACACGTGTCTGCATATGCATACATATGAACACACATACATATGAACACACATACATATGAACAACACATAGAGAAAGGAAGAAAGAAAATATTAATTGGGGAGACTTAGGTCCAAGATTTAGAAATCTGTGTTCCCCCAATGACACATCTCACGTTATAAATTGGCCAAAGGGATAGGGCTTGCATACTGGCCTTAATAAATGTAAATGGATTGAATTGACTCACTGCTAGTAACTATGCACACAGAAGCTGCCAGGCAGTGTGCATCAGCTACTCATCTCAAGGCTGTGTCAGGACACCTAGGAGAAACATTCTAAGGTCAGAAGGATTTATTGGGTTCACGGCTGGAAGGGATGCAACCCATGGAGGAGAGGCACAGTAGAAAGCATGTAGCTTCAAGGCAGCCGGAGTGTGTAGCTGCTTGTTCCAAGTGAGATCGAGAAGTGGGGATGGGCTACGAATCTTTAGGTCCATCCCTGCAATCTACTTCCTCTGGCAAAGATCACCTTCTAAATATTCCACGATCTCCTAAAGCAGAGCCACCGGCCGGGATCAAGTGCTCAATCACGTAGGAAGCTTGTGTGGGGCATTCTACATCTGAGCCATAACACATTGGGAGATACTTGATATGTATGCCTGTGTGTACTCTTCCCCACCAGCCCAGGAGAGCTGAGCCTCTGGGCTCCTTCTGACCTATGGGGAAGAAGAGCTTTAGAGAGAGGTGTTAACTGAGGGTGTGAGCGACAGGCAGTAGCTCCTGAATGGTATCCACAAGGATCTGACTCCAAGTCAAGGTCCTCTCTCCCTGACTCTGGTGGAGAACACGAGATAAGCACAGGTTTGAGGGGCTCACTGCTCCAACTGGGGGGCAAAGCTACGTGACAGAAAGGCTACAAAGTTCTCAGATCATTGGGGACACTCATAGTCAAAGAAGCCTTCTTTCATTCGGTCGTTTATGTGCTCACTTCTTCCTATATGTCGGTCACACAGACAATGGCAATTGGAACAGGTGCACTGAGACCACCAGAAAGGGCCCACGGTGCCACGTGAGGGAATCAGAAGGAAATGAGAGGGCAGTCAGGCGTGGCAGGCTGGGGACAGTGCAGAGGACAGCTAAGGTGACTTCTTAAAGAACTGATGGGCTGGAGGGAAGACTCGGTGGCTAGGTGCAGATACTGCTTTACTGGGGGCACACACGGCCCCAGCACCCTGTGTTCAGCGGCTCATATACTCCAGCTCCAGGGGACCTGATGTTCTCTGGTGGCCTCCATAGACACCTGATCTCTTGTGTACGTAGCCATACATAGACACGCACACACACGTAACTAAAAATTAAAGTCTTTAAAAAGGTTGGCGAAGACAGGTTAAGGAAGCTTAGAAGAGAGACTGAAGAACAGGGCGTAAGAAAAGTCTCATGAAAGTGAAGCAGGCACTTCTCCTTCCTTGGAGAGCTCCAATTAGTCCAGACATCTGGAGTCTTGAGTCTATGAACTGGTGTTTCCTTGCACATCCACAGGAAACAGTGTCTGCCACCCATCAGAGCAGCTAGCTCATCTGAATGGGGTGAGGAGAAAGAGCACTGGGCAGAACTCTGATGTTCAGTCTTGTCTCTGAACTATGTCTCTATGGCCACACCCATCCAGGCTCATCTATGGAGCCTAGGGCTATGGACACACCCACCCAGGCTCAGCTATGGAGCCTAGAGCTATGACCACATCCATCCAGGCTCAGCTATGGAGAGCCTAGCGGTATGACCACATCCATCCAGGCTCATCTATGGAGACCTAAGCTGGGGACTCAAGCAACATTTTTCCCTGCAACTCACACAGACAAAACATGAACCTGGACAGGGATTCTCAACTTTGTACAACTCTGAAACCACCTGGCTGAAACAACTACCTGTGTTTAACCCAGTTTCCCTCCTGGTGTGGACACGTCCTGGGCATGAAGCAGACCTGAAGTCTAAAAACCACAGTTCAGATTTATGTAACCTATGGTCACCATATGTTTGGATTTTTGGTTTACAAATCTGGGCAGGATTTTCTTGAATTACAGTATTTTCAGTAAAAACTCAATGATTTAAACTCTTTCCCAAACAAGAGCAATACAGCTACAGAACATATACAACCATGTTACATGTTAAGGCACATTTCAACAATGAGCATAAAGAGGGAATCATAATTTAATTTTTTGTTAATAGTCGATATTACCCTTTCATTTTCATTTGTGTGTGTGTGTGTGTGTGTGTGTGTGTGTGTGTGTGTATCCTTGCTTGCTGCTTTCTCCTCTCTTAGACAGTCCAGAGCTTAGCCTGTGCAATGTGTGTGTGTGTAGATACCAGTATTTGGTCTAATAGACAAAAATGTATAGATACTAATGTTTAAGACCCAATTCATGAAAGAATTTATCATATGCTCCAATCTCATTTATGTTGCTGTGATAAAGGACTCTGACCAAAAGGTACACAGGGTTGGGTGGGGGTTAGGTTAGGTTTTATTTGGCTTGCAATTTCAGGTTATGGTTCATCCTTTCAGGGAAGTCAAGCCAGGAGCTCCCCCAGCTAGTCACATCACATCCACAGTCAAGAGCAGAGAGAGAGAACAGAGGCATCCTTGCTTGCTGCTTTCTCCTCTCTTAGACAGTCCAGGGCTCAGCCTGTGCAATGGAGCTGATCAACTAACATCATGATAATCCCCCATAGACATGCCCACAGGCCAACCTGATGTAGATAACTCCTCAATTGAGAGTCTCTTCCCAAGGGATGCCAGGTTATGGCAAGTTGGCATCTAAAATCAACAATCACAACCCAAATTTGCCTCTCCTTCCCTCCTCAAATGTTCATGGATCCCTGAGCCTGGGTCAGGCCTAGAAATGGGTGCAGAATGCAGTATTGAATATAACAGATGACTGAGCATACCGCAAAATTCTACCAGTGAATATTTTCCTTCTGCACTTTGGAGCTAAGTGGTCAGTATCACAGACCACCTAAGGGGATCCCATGCTGAGGGAGCTTGCGAAGTGATGGACGGTAACACTTGGTAGATGGTGCCCAGCATGGGAGCTGGTTATCAGGGGTTTGTGGTCTTGGCTTTCAGGTATGTGCTCTTCCTGCATGGACAGCTTCCTTGCCCCATGGAGGATGCCTGTTCAGACAGAGAGCCCCAAGTGATGGCCAGCCAACAGGTGCCCCCCTGGATCAGGTGGCATGCAACATAGCCCTAACATCAGAAATTTTCATTCTCTACACTTTGAGGGAAAGACCTGGGAGATTCTTAGACAGAACTGCTGTTGCTGGGGAGAGACTTCCCTCCCTGTGCCAGCTTGGCTTCAGCAAGCCCCCAAAGCTATACACCAAAGCTATGTATCGAGTGCACACAATGGCACTGGAACCAGAATGGCTGCGTGGATGCTGGCAGCACGCTGAGGCCTGCAAGGGTCAGCTGAAATGACTGACTTTCAGGTCTAGTCAGTCCAAAACCTTAGAGGATTCAAAGCTACCGAGAGAGCAAGGATCACACCCCTACAAATCATTTGCTCTGCCTCACCCCGACCTCTACCCAAACCCCCAGCCTTGTTCTTTTACTGACACCTAAATGTCTTGTTGCAGCTCACATCCACCCTGCCTGCCTCCCTATGCATGGACAAACCTTTGGCCTCAATGAGACCTGCTGGATCACTGGCTTCGGCAAAACCAAGGAGACAGACGGTGAGAGGAAGAGATGCAAGACTGTGTGTGTGCATGTTTGTACACTGTGTGTATGTGTGTGTCTGTTGTAGGCCACGTGTATGCAGATGAAGGCCTATCCAGGTGAGAGTTTGAATGTACAGGCTCATGGTTAATATATGAACATAGACACCTGTGATTCTATCGGCGCAGTCTGTCTGAGAACACCTTCTAGGCAAGACTGCTAGGAAGTCCCTCCAGTTGAACAGTGTGGGTTTACTGTTCATGACAGTGAGGGGAAACATGGGAAACATACTTTTCAGTAAGAGGCTGTTAGAACTGGAGATATGGCTCAGTTGTTAAGAGTTCTTCCTATGCTTTCAGAGGACGTAGGCTTCATTCTCAGCACCCATATAGTGGCTCATAATAGCCTGTAACTCCAGTTCCAGGGACCCAAAGCTCTCTTCTGGCCTCCAAGGGGACCAGGTAACATAGACATACGTAGATAGAAGTTTCTGTCCCATCCAGTCCCGCCGCCATTCAGTTCCAAAGAAACTCATAGAGGCTTATATTCATTAGAAACTGTTTAACTTATTAGTTCAGGTTTATTGTTAGCTAGTTCTTACAACTTAAGTTAACCCATAATTCTTGTCTATACTTAGCCACGTGGCTTGGTGACCTTTTCAGTGCAGCATTTTTATCTTGCTTCCTCTGCATCTGGCTGGTGACTGACTCTCTGTCTTTCCTCTCCCCAGGATTCTTTTAATCTGGTTGTCCCATCTATACTTCCTAATCGGCTACTGGCCAATCAGTTATTTTATTAAGCTAATACTAGTGATAAAATTTTACAGTGTTCAAGAGCATTATCCCACAGCAGACATAGACAAGAAAGTTCATACACATAGAATGAATATTTTTTAAAAGAGACTATTAAAACGGCTTATTGTAGGATGTGGGTAGCTTGGGGAGAGTTCAAGGAAGTGGTACTTTTCTCTAGGTTGGATGCTGTTGAGGAGCAGTGGCTGGAAAACTTAATAATCTCATCCAGAAGGAAGGTAGAGCCTACGACTATGATGGAGGAGAAGCAGTGAGCCCTGGACTGACTGGGAAAGAAGATGTTTCGTGTCTGTCCTTTACTTAAGGACTTCCTACTTGCAGTACTGGGTCTTGAATCCAGAGCCTCTTGCTCATGTTAAAAAGAAGTGCTCTACTACTGAATGGCATGGCTAGGCCTTTGTACTCAGCCCAAGCTGAAGCCACACTCATTTTGCAGTCTAGGCTTGCCTTCAGCTGATCCTCCTCCTTAGACTCCGGGTATTGAGATTACAGGCCTGCCCCGCTAAGTCTGTCTGGGGCAGCGAAGGGAGAATGGTGGGGTAGTTTCACTTGGACTCATTCAGTCTGAGCACCTTGTCTGGGGTCAGCTATAGATGACTGTCCACGACACTGTGACCTGGCCAGCCTGGTCCTTACATTCAGGCCACCTTCACCAGTCAGGTCACTATTTCCTGCTCCCTCTAGTGGAAACCTCACCGATTAGCTATAAAGAGATGGGCAAATCATTTCTTCAGTCATATGGGTCTAGACCTATAAGTGGGAGATCAAGACACGCCCTAAAGTCTTGAGGCTTCTGGAAGCAAATGGCATATGAGATGGTACTTTGAATGTAAACGAGTGTGCCAGCTCAGTGTGTTCATTACCTTGCCCGTGGCTGCCACAAAACACCTGGCAGAATAATTTAAGGGAGGAAGGGTTTATTAGCTCACAGTTCCAGGATATAATCCCTTGTGCCAGGCATGTCACGGCAGCCTGAGCTTAGGCAGCTGGTCATACTGTGTCTGTAGTCAGGAAGCAGAGAGACTGCTATTAAGAAGTATTACTAGTATTATTTTATTAGTACTGCTACTCAGTTCTCTGTCTTGTTTATATTCAGCCCATGAAACGGTGCTGCCCAGATTTAGGGAGGGTCTCCCTACCTCAGTTAACTAGACAAGAAAATCCTTCCCAGACGTTCCCTGAGGTTTCTTTCATAGGTGATGAGGCCCTGTCAAGTCTGTACAAACCATCGCAGTCAGGTAGCCCACAGGCTGTGAGTTCACGTGGGAACAAGCCTCTGTTTCAGTATGTCCAGTGAGCTGTGTCTGATGTGAGAATGTGTGTTCCACCATGGATGGCCTCCGTGGGGTGGGTTTGGGCACAGACAGGGTGCCCTCTACTCCCAAAAGACTCAGAGACTGGGTCCCAAGGGAGCAACTGACGGCTGTGAAGCTTCTCAGAGTCTGATTGGTTTCCTATCCTCTCTCCCCACGTTCACCTCACTGAAGATAAGACATCTATCTTACTTCGAGAGGTTCAGGTCAACCTCATCGACTTCAAGAAGTGCAATGGCTACTCAGTCTATGACAGTTACCTTACCCCGAGGATGATGTGTGCTGGGGACCTGCGAGGAGGGAGGGACTCCTGCCAGGTGAGGTCCTTGTGGGTGGGGCTCAGGTCTCACGACCCTGGAGATGGGAGACGGCAGGAGTGCTAGGATAACATGGGGATCAGAGAGCCATCCTTTCCTGGTTTACCCCTCTTTTGCACCAGACTGGCTCACTCTCTGGCTCTTCCTCGCAGGGAGATAGTGGAGGACCTCTTGTCTGTGAGCAGAACAACCGCTGGTACCTGGCAGGTGTCACCAGTTGGGGCACAGGCTGTGGCCAGAGGAACAAGCCTGGTGTGTACACCAAAGTGACAGAAGTACTCCCCTGGATTTACAGCAAGATGGAGGTGAGAGCTCAGCACAGGGATGAGCCTGGAGGAGGGTGGGGTGTGTTTAGAGAGGGGCCACCTGAGCCCTGTGCCTTTGGGAATGTCCAAGACGGGGTTAGGTGTCAGGCTTGGGACCCGACCAATATGTCCTTTCCCTTGGAACAGTGCCCAGAGGGTTATAAAAGGGTGAATCTAGGCTTAGCTTCTGCACCAATATTATTCTCTTCTCCCAGCGAGAACCAAAGGTATACAAATTGGCCACTAGAGGGCGCTAGGAGGCTACCGTCCATGGCAGGGAGGTGACCATCAGGACACAAGGATCTACTGGCCCTGCCTCTTTGCCAGTCTCCTGTCTATAACTATAAAGCTGTTGCTATGGTCAACATTCCCCATTCTTTGGGCAGGGGAAGACAATGCAGAATACAGAGGGAGACTGCACCAGAACCCCTGCCATGGACCTCAGAATGCAATTCCTTTCTCCCAGAGAATGTGTCTGCTGGCATTCAGCTCTAGGGATGATGGCAGGCCCTGGACTTTCTAGTCCTTGGGCTTCTATGTTTCATTCCCACCCTTACTCTAATTTCCTGGTCTCTTCCTCAGAGCGAGGTACGCTTCCAGAAATCTTAACCAGTCCTTCCTACATCGCCGACTGATATGAAGATCCTGGCTAAAGGGACTGGCCATTTGCTGGACCTGGACCAGTGGTCACCAGGCACATTTCACCTTCCACCTCTGTCTGCTGTCTCCATGAGAGTTCATCTGTGGTGCACATGTGCTTACATCATGCGTGCTTCTGTGTGTGTGTGTGTGTGTGTGTGTGTGTGTGTGTGTGTGTGTTCAAGTTCTTCAGCAAACAGGAAAATTTGGCTCTTCCCAGAATCCCAGGCTGGAAATCTGGAGTTAAGAGTTTGGGCACCAGGTGTGTTCCTAAGAGTCTATAAGTGGAGGTGGAGCCAAAAATGAGCCCAGGAAGGGCCTGGAAGATGACAGCAGCAGATGTCACTCTTCTTACTCTGATCTGGAGAACCAGCCCAGATTGCACAGATACCCAGCAGCCAGTGTCTGTTGCTGCGCTTGGACAGCAGCAAGTTTTGCCAGAGTCTGCCATCTCAGTGCCTGGACCATCTGTCCTTGGTGGAAAGCCAATCCCATTGGTGTTGCGAGTTGCAGGCCCTCTCGGCCTCTTGGGATTGCCGTGGACCCCAGAGCTGGGCTCCACTGTGTCTGTCCATCTCTGGGTGCTGCTGTGGGTCCCAGAGCTGGCCTCTCCTGTTGGCTGTCCATCTCTGGGTGATGACTGTGACCCAGGCTTGCTGTACTTTTGATCGCAAGCAATTGGGATGGATTTTATTTTATTTTTATATTTAAAATATAGAAATCAATGTAATTTTAAGGAGTCTCAAAATCCTCGGGGCCTTGGGAAGTTTGGCATGAATCATTTCATGAGCTCCAGGGGACTCATGGGAGTTGTACTGCTGAAACATCCTATGATATATTATTGACTTCATGAAATTAGGTCAAGTCCTCAATGAAATCCTCAGGAAGAACATCAAGTATGGCGGCTAGGGCCCTTTGAGATACTCAGGGAGGAAAATCGTCATTTTTGCCAAAAGATAAATGCTGCTCTAGCCTTCAAGAACTGCAGCCAGTCTGAAGAACTGAAGATGTGTGTGCTGCCCTGCTTAACCTCGCAGGGCCCCTGGCAACCCTGGCAAAGTCTAGGCACACCGCATTATTTATACCCAAGGGGCTGAGCTGAGACTATGCGGTTTGTTTCTGGCTTTCTTCATCTTTCAATTTTGTACTGACTCACATGGCCATGAGGAGAAAGCAAGAACTGTTCCCAGAAGCTCTGAACAGCCCTTCTGGGAGGCCTAAGTCGTCCTGGTCTTCCTCGAGGCCTTTTCTCTTGGTCACCTGCTTCTCCTCAGCTCCACTCCCCTCACCTTTCTTGTCCCTACCAGACCTCTTGTGAGATGCCGTCTCAGAGGCAAGTTCAAGATCAGACCAGCTCGGGACAGTGCACACAAGCTGGAGGTAGCCAGAGTGGTTGGGCAACATCAGAGCTGGAACATTAGGGAATGTCTTCCAGGCTGGGAAGGGGGACAGACTTCACATCTGCGGGAGTTCCCAGCAATGAGCTTCATTAATAAAAGTGTGTGACATAAAGAAGTTGTTGCATGTTTCATTGATGATGCAGGTAGAGAATCAAGATGGCCTGCACTCTGCCCCAGTGCCCAGGGATCGCAGACATGCTTCTTGCGGAGTTTCTCACCTTTGGCTCCTGTCCACCCAGTCCCACATCTGTTCCTTGATTCCTTCCCCAGTGATGATACCAGGTACTCACGCCAAGCCCAGGCGATCCCCAGAGCAGCGTAGCACCCTCGAACCTGTGCGATGCAAGTGATGAGTAAGTGTGGATTCCATGCTTGGAACACGGACATATGAGCCAGCCACGTCTCCAGAGGTCAGCAAAGGCCTGGCTGGGAGAGGAGGTTTGAAGCGAGTTTGAAAGAGAAGAACATTCCTAAAGTAGACGTGTCATGGTGACGGCCCTCTAGTGTCAATCTTCCCCCTCTTCCTCTTCCTCCACCTCTATTAGCTCAGCAAGAAACGTGTTCATAAGCCCCAGTGATTACCTGCTTCTTTACAAAAGGGCTGGGTGGGTGACCTTTGGCCTCTTCTGTCATATTTACCCCTCCATGCTGCTCCCTCCTTTTTTTTTTTTTTTTGCATTTCCTACATTAACTGTAACAGTTACGACTCCACCACTACCACACATGTGCATGTCGAGGCCACACACAGCTTTTTCCCAGTCTATTTGTGCCTGGACTGTGATACTTCTATTTACTTTGTCTCTCTTATTTGTGCCCAGGCAATCTCTCCTCTGACTCTTTCTTTGCTTTGTCTGCACAAGAAGGCATACAGAAGGTGGTGGGGGCTGTGGCCACTGTATTCCTCGTCTCAGTATCAGGACTCTAATAGTGCCTCAATTTTCCACAGTTTAACTCAATCAAAGTCTAGGTCTCAACCATTAACAGTCCCTCGAGGGCGTTCCATTAGCTGGAGGCTTTCTTCCATGTGGGGTTTCCAGGACCTGGGACTTTCCATCGTGTGACTGTCATTGCCATCTTGTCTGCTTTTGACCAGAAGGAAAACATGTAGATGACACACCCATTTCTCAGATGTGATACATGGAAGCATGGTACATGGTGTCACTGAGAGGTTGTGGGGCCAGGAATTACAGTCTTTTGGCTCACACCCATAGGAGACAACAGCCAGGTATCTCTGTCCACCAGAAGAAGCTGGCTATGACTCTAGAAGCCAAACCTGGGGCAGAGTAGCAGGATTTTGGCCACTTCTGTTCACCTTTCTTCACTTAACCAGTTCTTTCCAAGGTAGGTCAGTGAGACTTTTCAAAGTATAAGCTGATTGGCAGGTAGGAAAGGACAAGGTAACAGAATATATATATATATAAAAATCAGATTCTGCAAAGGATATGGAAAATACATTTCTTTAACCCGGGATATCAATAAAGGCTAAAAATCTTACAGAAAGCGGGTGATAGAACTTCCCAAACTAGTCCAGAATCTCCGGGGAGGTACGCAGTGGCAGGAAGTGGCAAATATGGAATACTGTCCCAGGTTCTCAGACCCCAGACATCTCCACATAGCATCAAACCCTTCAGTTTCAGCATCTCTGTTAGCTGTTAAGTTTCCATGGGATTTCTCTGGGATGCAAATGAGAACCTTGTGAGCTGTTGGGAGCAGGGCAGGTGATAGCTCTGTGGAGAGGAGCCACTTCCAGCTTGGCTGCTGATCTGGTTGCCTCTGGGGTTTGATTAGATTCCCAGGGGCCATTGTTTCTCATAATTGCTTGTCCTTGTTCTGATGCAATTGGGAGAACATGAGGAGATGCACATGGAGAGCTCCTGGCAATGACAATGAGGAGGAGAGGGGCAATAATTCCGCAGATGCCACGCTGATCACCTGCCTCCATTATTCCTGTACGCCTGCCGTTCCGCAGAGCACACACAGCAGCTATCCCCTACTCCGTAAACAAGGAGACAAAGGCTTGGCTGAGTGAAGTGCGGCTCCCAAACCACGCGGCACTCAAGCTCCAGAGCTGGACTTTGAACCTCGAGACTGTGGTTGTTAAAGCCGTTTCCCTGCACTCTGTATATAGCAGATTCCCAAAGCCAGGGAAGCCTCTCCTACTTGCGACCTCAGTAGAGTCTGCCATCTGGTTCTGTGTATCTTTCCGGGATAGGAGAAGGGAAACATCTCCCTAGAGACAGCTGGGCACAACCTTTGGAGTGTCACATGGCCGGAAATTTAGACTTGGCAGTTTTCAGCACCCTGGAGGAAGCCCCTCCCTCACCTACAAATGGATGGTTTCCAAGACGCCCTCTCAAGCCATGACGAAGCTGCCACTCAATACACCTCCAGGTCTCCTTGATCTGGGTCAATGACTTTAAAAGGCACATGCCATTCATTCCCTACCTGCTTTGCACTGGTCCTCACTCCCTGTCATTTGAGAAAGCTGTGGCTCAGCACAGGAAGTAAACAATGTCTGTCCAGAGAACCGGGAGGGCCATATACTAGATGTTCAGTCCTGGGCCACCCAGAAAGAAAACTGCTAAAGAAGACCCTGCAAAAGGGGAAGGCCAAACCTGATCTTTGAGCCTCCCCAGCTCTGCTCCTTCTAGCAGGACAAGGAATGTGGCTATCACCAATGGCTTCTCTACCCAAGTCTTAGAAGAGGTGGCCACACCTGTGCCTTGAGGAGCTGTTGTAGTAGAGTGGGGTTGGACCCGGAGGATGTGACGGTGCAAATTCCGGCTCTGCCACTCGCTTAGCTGTGCGATCCTGGGCCAGCCAATCCCTCTATTTCCTCATATGTATAGTGTGCGTGTGTCTCCTGTGTGCTGTAGAATTAAGTGGAATGGCAGACATAAACAGAGACACAAAGAGATTACCCAGGTCCTTCGTCACTGCATCACTTGAGAGGGTATGCAGGCAATTCTTCAAGTTCTAGTAAGCCTATTGTTTCTCTCAGGAAATTTTCCCCTAGTTCTTTAGTAGCCAGTGGACTGATCTTTCAGGAGGGGACACTTACCTAGGGCAGGTGGGTAACCGCTGGCCGTTTCTCTAAAACCACTAAACCCCAAGTTGAGTTCATCTTCTCCCTTTGTTGTTGATGGGCTAGTTGCCTGCCCATGGAAGAATTCTCTAGAACTTTGAATCGTGTCCAGTGGCCTCTAACTCTTCAGCTAATGGCGTTGGCAAGTTCAGAGCTGTGAGGGTCACATGTCCGCAAGCCTCAGCCTCGCCCATCAGTCGTCTGCCTACTGCCCCATCACAGGATTGAAAGCCTGTGTCGTCATATCCGGTAGAAACGTGCAAGTTCTCATCTTACAGAGACCTCCGTGGTTTTTAACTGCTGAGCATTCCCTCTTGACAACTAAACTAACCTAAAATGTCACCAACTCTGCCCCTTCCTTCTCTGGACCTCTGGTGGACTCTTCTCAGTGCTCCATAAACTCTGTGAAGATGCTGCCGGGAGATTACCTCGGGTTCTCCTCTCCTCTGTGGTACATGATTATGATGGTTATTTCTCTTCTTGTGGTGATAAAACACCCCACCGAGGCAGCATGAGAGAGGAAGACCTTGTTCTGGTTCACGATTTGAGGGAGTTTCTGTCCCTGCTGATGGGGAAGGCACAGTGGACCAAGATGGCAGAGCGGCTTGTGACATCTTGGCAGTAGACTGGAGGCAAAGAGCACTCTGTCAGAACTCTGTGTTATCTGCTCCTCAAGCTGCCTCAGGCAACACCCATCCAAAACCAGATTCATTTCCTCCAGCAAGGCTCCAACTCTGTGTTAGTCACTGTTCTGTTGCTGTGAAGGCATATCGTGACCACGGCAACTCTTATAAAGGAAAGCATTTCACTGGGGCTGGCTTACAGTTCAGAGGTTTAGTCCATTATCGTCATGGCAGTGAGTAGAGTGACGTGGAGGCAGACATGGTGCTGGAGAAGTAGCTGAGAGTTCTACATCTGGGTCTGCAGGCAACAGGAAGAGGAAGTTACTGGGCCTAGTTAGGGTTTTTAAAACTTCAAAGCCTACTCAGCGATATGCTTCCTCCAACAAACCTATGGATATCATTCTCATTCAAACCACCACAACCTCCTAAAGGTTCCACAATTACACACACACACACACACACACACACACACACACACACTGTCCAAATAACATCACTATCAGCCAGCAGCTTGGGACCAAATGTGAGGGACATTTCTTATGAAACCGTAGCAGTAAGCTATACTAATGCTCACTGTTCCAGGGTCTATATCATCCTCTTCCTGGGTTTCCCAATGATTCTGTAGAGCCAGCAGGAATTTGTTTCATATCACTAAGGTGCAAGAAATGCCACAAATGCAAAAAATACCAGACTTCAACATTATAATCAGACTAAGCCGCTGCAGTCAGACGAAACACTACCCACCTTCACGTTCTTCCCTCAGAGAGTACAGGGCAGGCACACACATACCACACAGACCACACACACACCACACACACACCACACACACACCACAGACCACACACACCACACACACACACTACATACACACACACCATACACACAACACCACACCCCCTCTCATACACACACCACACACACACCACATACATATCACACACCACACACACACACGACATACACACCACACTCCACACTCACACATACCACACACACACCACACACACACACCATACAAACCATACACACACACCACACAGGATAGGAGTCTTTGTTGGAAATGTGCTTTGTAAATACTTTCTCTGTGTAACTTGCCTCGGTCTCTTAAGTCTCTTAAGATCTCTGTGTCTCTTAAGGTCTCTTAAGGTCTCTGTGTCCTTATCTAAACAAATTATTTTAACTTTGTAACTTCAGTTTATTAACTTTGTCTCTGAAGATTGTTTAACAGTCAGACTGCCAAATCCAAGTTCATAAGAATGTCATTGATATGTTTAAAAAATTTTAATGTTTTATAACTTACAATCAGGACAGTAATCCATTTTGATACTATTTAGATATAGACTAAGATTTGGTTTTGCTTGTTTGCAAATGGATGTCCCAGGGTCCCAGCATT